GACTGAGGAAGTCCTTGAGGACTAGCAGGCCCAGTTTGGTTGGCCAGGGCTTCTTTGGGGAGGAGGGTGCACTCACGCTCAGGACCGGCATCAAGGGCAGGCAGTGCGGCCACTGACCCGGGGCTTGCTCCTCCTCCTCACCGTTGTAACCCGTGCCTTCATCTGCCTCATGGGGATGCAAGAAGCTGCCTCAAGCAGGCAGCTCATGAGAAAAAGGATGGGAGCAACAGCAGCTGGTGGCACGACGGGAGTGGGCCCATTGCGGGCGTCTGCCCTCAGGAGCCTGGAGCTGGCACGGTGCACACTGCCCTGTTCCCCATACTTTTGCCACCCAGGGCCAGAAAGCTTTCCCCTTTCCTTGACATGCTTGTGAGTGCATCGGATGAAGGAAAGGGTCAGTGTTGGCTGCGTTCACCTGCCATTTTGTTTTCCTCTGAAGGCGGTGGGGTCCAAGGCATTCTGGGAAATTAAGATGGCGAACAGCTGCAGGCCTAGCCTGCTGTCCTAATTCAGATGTAAAGGAAGTGGGGTACTTGGAATGTGGGTGAGAGTCAGGCTGATGGCAGGCATTTTTCTGTGATGGAAGTCAAGCCTTCTCATGGAACCCGTGAGATGCCTCATATCCATACCAGATTCAGCACCCTCATAAGAAATATGAAAACATTTGCTCTCTTGTATGCCAGTTAGTAGCCCAGGAGGCAATGGATGTAAGGATCTGAAGCAGGGCCCCTTTCGATGCCCTCTGCTTCCTCCTTTACAACTGGGTCAGCATTGCTGAAACGATGGAACAAAACAGACAGATGTTCTTTGCAAGCTATTGGACTGTTTGATCACGACAATGATAAGTACCCTCGAGCATGTGCCATTTTGCATTTTAAACCCACTTCATCATGGCATCATTCTGACAACAGAAATGAATCAGACGTTGTTTCTGCTGCCCTGATGCTCAAAACTCTTATTTGGGGACAAGCACCAGTTTGCTGGCATGCGCATGGCAGCCCAGGCCTGGGGCTGGGGCTGCCTGCTCCGCCTGGGTGTTATCTTCGGGGTCCCTGGACTCTGGCCCCAAGGTCCAGCCCTCAGTGCTCCTGATGCAGGTGCGACTTCAGTGCTCCCCTGAGCAAGCCTGTGCTGAACAGGAAAAAATGGGTGGACCTCAACAGAGGAGAGCTACTGGCTGTGCGGGACTCATGGACGGCCCTTCCTCTGGCCAGAGCTTTGCTCCTGGAATCCATAGCTCAGGGATGCCCCAGCGCAAGTCATCTGGTCTCTCTAGTGCCAACCTGATCCCCAGGCACAGCACTATGCAAGGGCTAAACCTGGGACCTTCTCCGTCGCAGGTACATAAAGTGCCGGCACGCAAAAGAAAAGCCCAGTAGTGGATGATGGGGCTTGGAATCATTAAAGCACAGGGCTGGATGGCCTTTTGTTGGGTCTGCTCCGACTCTGGAGTTCTGGCCCTGGGCAGGAGGATGCTCCCCACGCCCGTTCCAGTGCTCTGATTCTGCAGTCTCCTCGGCACTGATCCTGCTCACTGAATACTCACCTGGAACCCCCTCTGCTGGCAAGCAGCTCCCCAGGAAGCAAGAATTTGAAATGCTGCAGGGGCCCAGGAAGCTCTGACTAACCCAGGCTGTCGCCTTGGATTTCTGGAGTAGCCTTTAGCACCCCAGTGAAGTTCATCTGTGTGTGGAAGGGTGGCCCGTGATAGCCTGACCTTTTCTCACCTCTTGTCCTGCAGAGGAAGAAGAGCTGTACCGTGTCCACGGTTGCACCCGGCCCGGGGTCCAGAACTGTGGCACAAAAAGGGATATCGGAGGCTTTACCATCCAGTTTGATTGCTGCACAGAAAGCGACATGTGCAATAAGGTTTTATTTACCGAAGGAGATGATGACGGCCTTGACTGGTGATCCGTCTCCAGAGCCATCAGAAAAGCGCCTGAAAATTGCTTTTCTGCTGCTCCGCCAAGCTTATGCATCTCTGCACACACACACTCACAGCACACACATTTCCCTTCATTCACCCTCCCCCCCCACACACACACACATACACACAAACTCATGTCTGTTGCTGCAGCAGCATCTCACCAAGACTCGACTTCTGATCAAGATCAATATTCCGATCAATATCCTAGCTGGCCCCATAGCTTTGTGCCTGCGCGCTTTGCTTTAGACGTGCCACCTCTTTCTAGACTGTGGCTGTTCCTAATCTTGTAAGGTGACGATGACCACATGACAAGAACAGCTGTTTATAGAAAGCAAATGAATAAACCGCTCTCACTTGTTCCTCGAGCAGTTTGTTCTCAACTCTTATGCAGCCTGTTGATATTGGTGTTCCCCTCGCAAAAAAGAAAGACGAGACAGGTGCACATTGCACTGAAACACTGTGTGACGGCTCCCACAAGGCCATGCTTCCTCTCTCCAGCTACCTGACACAGGGAGATGCAAGGCTATTTATTTTGCCATGCATTACCCGAGCTCCACATTAACAGAGACACCAGGATCTAAGAAACTAGAAAGCTATGGAATTACCTCTGTCTCAAGACAGGATTCTCTGTGCATCCATCCATCCTGCTGTAACATGCTTTTCTAACTTTGAGCGGGTTCTCACATTGGGTTCTCACAACATTATAAGCTGTGGTGACTTGAGTTGTCTGAACCCAGCAGCACTGTTTATTAACTATGTACAAGCCACTCTGGCTGGGTTCGGACAACATAACAAGGTACCCATGGCTTATAAAGCACCAGGGTGTATTGTGGTGTTTGAACCCAGCTGTAGACTGAGTTCAAAGCACATGGTAACCCAGCACTCAAAGCTTGACTGGATGTCGTTGTTGAAACATGTCTTGATTGATGGGTTCTCTGAACCCAGCCAAGGTAACAAACCATGGTGAACAACCCACCAACAAACCACAGGTCCTTTTCATGGGTTGTTTATAGTTAACAATCCATGATTCCTGATCTTGGGATAATTGCAGTTTGTACCTGCTGACTTACTGACAGCTCTCATCTGTATTTTAAGACCTTTCACTGTGTCTGCTTCCTACTCAGCCTTCTATGGACTTGGATAAGCCAGGACTAAGTACTTCAATACCAGATAGATCAGCCCTTATGATCCACATATCAGTGAGGGAACAAAAATGCTATCCCACCACAAAGTTACATAGAGCAAAATGTCATTCTGGTTCAGTACAGAACCTGAACTCTGAGGAAGCTGCAACAATGGATTATCAACAAAACCCTCAAGTTCAAAAGGTGGTCAGACACTGAGAAACAATGATGTACAGGATTGTCCTCTATCTCCTAACCCCACAAAAAGGGGGAGACACCTAGCAACTCAACAATATCTCCGACCTTTTGCTTTGCAGGTAAATATCTCACACAGCACAAAATAGATCCCCTATCTGTTGGCTCCCATCTGGGATTTCAGCCAATCAGCCTGGACTATTAGCAGTCTTGTATAAAAAAAATCAGCTATTTTAACTTGGACTTCCACTATTTTCAGCTGCTACATTTTTTCCTGACATGGCTATTTGTCACAGCTCCATATACTAAGCCTTCATGGTCAGAAATTCTACAGTTTTTCAGCTCTAATTGCCCTGAGAGCCACCATGAGTACAGACATGATTAATTCTTTAGATGTTATTTGTGCCTTTGGACTTCTCCCATTGGGCCAGTGCTCATGTGACACATATGCCTTGCAGGGTGATGATTGCCATTTCTAAAAATCTGTCTTCCAAAACTTCAGCACAAGGTATGTAAGTCATTTCTAAGGACCATTACTTCCTGGAGAGATGGCTGAGCAGGCTGTGTGCTTGTAATGGCAAATCATTTCGCTTGATCTTTTGACATTAGGTTTAAAAATGAGATTCCTCTGCTAGCATTTACCTGCTCAGCACAGGACATTTCCCTGTCCTTTTCCACTACTGGGATGACTGTCAGCAAGGCAAACCCAAGACATGTTCGCTCTTTATTGTTAAACTAGACTTGGCAGAGGGCCATTCAAACAGAGGGCTGTCCTCTCTAAAAGAGGACATATGACCGGGCATGGCCAGGGCCCCGGGTTCTTTGGAAGTACATCCAGTTCCCGGCTGAATGATTGGCTGCTCGCTTCATGAACCGTCGATGGAGTTGGTTTTACAAAGGATGGCCCTCTGCTGCAGCCGCTCTGCCCGCATGTGTGTTCTGCACACCCAGGTGAGAAACACGAAGCTGCAGGATGGTTCAGGCTCTGCTCTGGGCTGCTTGCCTTCTGCTCTGCCTGGATCTGACGGGTAAGTCCCAGCTTGAGAGAATCAGCTCAGCTCATTCCCATACTAAGGAGGTAGTTATGTTTGATTTCACAGGAAGACGATTCTCAAAAGAAAAGAACACGTTGGCACAGAGGTTGAAAGGACGGCGAAGTGGTTCGGAGCAGTCCTGTGCACACTGGGTTATTCAGAGCTGCACTCACAGAAGGGGCAGCATCTTAGCCGGCATGTGAGCCAGCGTGGCACCGTGGTGAGAAGGCTGGACTGGGATTCGGGCTTCCCAAGTGCCAGTCCTCACTCAGCCATGAAACTCACTGGGTGACTTTGGGCCAGTCACAGACTCTCAGCTGCACCTTCCTCACAGGGTTGTTGTTGTTGGGAGGATAAAATGGAGAGAGGAAAGAGGGTTAGCTATGCTGCCTGGAGGTATTCGGAGATATAATGGATTCCTTGCAAGAGGAAAAGAGGTGCAGTACACATGTAAAGGAATAATGTAAGAACTGAATTGTTAAAAATAAATATATAAAATGTCTGCTATAGACAAATCCAGAAAGTTAGCACCAAATCAAGAGGATGCCAGGGAGATCGATGAACAAAGTCAAGGAAGTTATTAGAGGCAATAGTCTGTTTTCCAAGGCTTTTCCATCTACGTGGTTCTATCTACTTTCTGGGCACTCTCAGGCAGAAATATTTGCCGGCACTAACTGGATCATCAACTGGGGTCTGGGGTCTTCCTGAATACCCTTGTGGGAGAGATCTTGTTGCTGGTGGTGGTGTTACCCTGAGCCTTGCCCTCGATAAGGTGGCTCCACTAACTGCAAAGCCAACCTGTTGCGTTTTGCACTCTTTTCTAGAGAGCATCTCTTGCGACACCTGCCTTGTGAAGAGTCGCTCCACCGGGTGCCTGACGGGGCTGGAGGGCTGCATTACTCTCGGCGCAAAATGCATGACAATCCGCATCTTCTACAGTAAGGGAGGGCAGCCTTGGTGCATTCCTCAAGAGCAGCAGGATTGGTTACTAATCCTGGCTGGCTGAGATGAATGAACACAGGTTTCTTTTATTCCTTTCTTGAGGGATTCCTATTCGTCATTCCACTGTGAGGTCATTAACTTAAATGCCCAAGGAAAATCAAAATAACCCATAAAATAATTAAGCTGGGTGTGTGGTATGTGTTATATACACACGCACTCACGCCACATATATGAGACCAGTAACAAAATGTAATGTGTCCTCATCCCTTAGTGTGAATGTTCTAGTTCAACATTCCCACACACTCCTGCTAGAACCTGTAACATCAGGGATGGAGATTGTGGTCACCTGACTTTTCTAGCATGCAACTCCCATGATCCCTCATCACTGGGTACGCTGGCTAGGGCTGATGGGAGTTGTAGGTCAAAATTTCTGGATCATCACACATCGCCCACCTCTGTTATAACAAGTAAGAGGCTCGAGTTGGCCAATCCATTTTCTTCTCCCACACCTGGTGTCTATTTTTCTTTGCCAACCAACATTCCAGGTTTCACGGCTCTTGGCGGCTACCTAGACCGTAGCAACCTGTTGCTTTAAGTGTTTTGCCCCTTTTAGCGACTTGCACTTCTGCCTGCCTGCCTGCAGGCTCACCTGGACTTGTTGCTCCCTCCCTCCTGTTTGGGCTCCAACCCTGTAGGCGCACAGCAATCTGAATCTGGCTTTTGGAGGAGTGGCTCAAAAGTTAGCAGGCAAGATAATCCAGCAATAAAGAACCAGTAGCCACAATTGGGTTTTTCTGTAGCAAATAAATCAAAAGCTTGCTCAAAGAACAACAAAAATTCCCTGTAGAAAGGAAGAGAGCCCACCAAAGGGCCCAATGCAGTGAATTCCACATCTTGAGCAGAGGCCCTGGCAGAAAAGGCCTTTCTCCTGCATCTCAGGAGGAGGAAGGATGGATGTGAGGCTGCACCACCACCCCAGTGACTGGAAAGGTACATGTGGTGTTTTTAAAAATACATCCTAGCCCTGAGCAGTTCCAGACATTAAAGGCAGTGGTCAGCAACCAGCACTATTAAGCACACTTAGAAATGGGCCAGCAGCCAGTGAAGTTGGTATGACCCAGGAATATTCCAAGGACAGTTGTTCTGGGGGGGTGGGGGTTGCAGGTTGGCCTGCACAGAGTTCAACCACAGAGCTCCTGTGGGAAGGAGTGCTGCCCCTGTGCTGGAATGTGAGAGCCTGATGGTTTATCCGCAGGTGTGCAGAACCAGTGGCTTCCCAGATGTTGCAGAAGTATCTTTCTGCTCAGCCTGGAGGAGTTGCAAGCCAGCCAAATTTGGATGCATGCAGCTCCCCACTCCTAGTTTATATAGTCTTGGGAAGAATTGAGGGTGAAGCCAAGCCTCTCTGGACTGCTTGCTTGTTTGGAGATGGTCTCCTGGAGAATTTCAGACAGCAGCATTGCTAGGCACTTAAAAATAAAAAATAAAAACCAGGGCACACAGGACACAAATCTACATATGCTAATATGTAGATTTAACCTCTCTGTGCAAGTTCAGATATCATTACTAGGATTTATATATTTCACAGAAGGCAACGCCAAAGCCAGCAAGTTAATTTCCCATCCAAAATATACCAAATAAACATTTTTATTAATTTGCACTCCAACCCCCCAGTTAATCCTAACACTGTAGTTCATCTTCAGTTACAATTAATTTGCAATGAAAAACGCACATGGAGGAGAAGCTGGTAAGTTTCATCAGAAGCCCTTTCACTCCCCTTTGCTGCTTCTGTTGGCACCAGTGGAGGCTCCTCCCCTACCCCAAGCTTACTGGCCATGCCTGGATGAGTGTTTTTAGGGGGCTGTTGTCAAATGTGGAGAAGGGAGGGCTCCGACTGTCCCCAGTTGTGGAATGCTTTCCCCAGAGGTCTGTCAGGCACCAACGTGGTCCTATTTTTGGTGCTTGGTTAAGACCCAGACATTTGGGAGCATATGATAGCTCTTTTAAATGTTAGTTTTAGTGGGCTCTCACCTTTTATTATTACCTTTGGCTGGGCTGCTTTTATTTTTACACACTGAAGGTATTGTATTCTGTTTTACCATGTTGTATTTTAGGGTTTTAATTTTAATGACTTGCCCAGAGAATGTTGGCTATTGGGCAGCACAGAGATGGATGGAAGGAAGGAAGGAAGGAAGGAAGGAAGGAAGGAAGGAAGGAAGGAAGGAAGTCCAATAGATGCTCATCAGTTTGCTTTCTGTCTCATTCACAGAAGGAAAGGTGAAAATTCGTATCCATGGTTGTAGCAAGCGAGACAGACGGGGATGTGGCGTGGAAAAGGAGTCTGGTGATCACAAAATGACAATCAGGTGCTGCAACTCTGACAGATGCAATGCAGGGAAACAATGGGGAAAGGCCCAGGGCAGTGAGGAGGAGGAGGAAGAAGTTCCATAGCATCCAGCTCCATCTCCTCCTCCTCCTCCTCCATTAGCAGCCCTGAGCTGGAGAGTCCTTCTCAACAGACCAGCTAGAATGCGGAAAATCCTTCTCACCTTTTCATCCATGTTATTAGCTAACCTTATCATCTTTTGGCTTTCCTCAAAATCCTTCAGACAATGTGCTTGAGGAGGAACTGCTCTCCGAAATGTGGTGGCTCCACCTGAAACAGGACTTCCTGCAAACTGTTTCAGGTGGACTTGGACTTGGAATGACATGGTGGTGGGGGCTTTAAAAAAATCTTTTTGGGATTGAGAAATGGTTGTATTAAGGAAACCTAAATGGCACTTCAGAATAAATGAATTCCACAAAGCACACAGATTGTGTGGCTTTCTTGTAGAATTCAAATTGAATTAATGTGATTAAAAGATGTACCCCTTATTGACAAGGAGTGGTCAAATTACATGCAAGCTATCTGAGATCCAATGGTGGTGTCACCTATAGTTTCAAAGAGTATGTCTTTTACTTTATTCTTTGCCTTCTGTTAGTCCCAGCATCTCAATTTTTATTCCGAGGCGTTCAGAACAGAGTGCTTCTGAGCATGTGCAAAGGAGAGCAATAAACAGAGTTTTGCAAGGAAAATGGTCTGTGACTTGTGATTGCTCAGAGGAGGAACCTTGGCTTGCAACTCCAAGGACCGCCTCTGATTCCACCAGCCCCTGCAAAGCCACACACACCCATGGGAAAGGTTTTCATTTTGAATGGGGGTCAGGAACGATAGCCAACAATTGGAAGAGACCTGATTTACCCCAAAGGAAATAAACTGTTCAAGGGCTGCTCCGTCAGGTTTCCCAGAGCTCTTGGGCCGAGGCACTTTCCGTGGACACCCCCCCCACCACCACCGCCGCCGCCCAGCTGCTCTCGCTCCTCCTTTTTACGAAGACTTGCCTGCTTGAGAGGCAGGGGATTGGTGAGCAAACTAACAGGCCAGGGCATCTCCTGCCGCTCCGTCTCATCACCCCCATTGCCTGGGCCAGAGCGAGAGGCAGGCAGGTCGGTCAGCAGGTCCCAGTGGTGATCAATGTTATATCCCAAAGGACGCCTTGTCAGTCCTTGGCAAACAGACCACAAGACCAGAGTGGAGAGGAGGAGAAGCTCCTTTATTTTACCTGCACAGGGACCAACACTTTAGTAAAGTGTGGTGCCTATGTATGGTATTACAAGCCTTTTTATAGCATTTCTTTATCTCTGGAAACGTACTAACGTATGTCTTCGGCACGTCTCTTGCCACAGTTTCTGCTGACCGCTCCTAATCGTCGCTGGTATCTGGGTCTTGCAGGCCTCTTAGTCATGTTATCTTCCCTGCCTGACCTTGCGCTCGTGCTTCTTCCTGTTTTTGGTTTCGCATGGTCATGCTTGCGTGACTCTGAGAGGGTCGGGGTAGACCCTGTACCTTTCAGATAAAGTAGTTAGCAAGTAGGTGTGCTGTGCGCAAGGGTGGGCTAGGTTCAATAAGCGATAAGCGGGTATTCTGTGCTGCCTGCTAGCCCAGTTCAATCAAGGCTTGTGGTGCCTCAGCTGTGGCCCGGCTAGGCCTACCTGTTGCACAAGTTCTGGGTTACTCCCTCATGCTAGCAGTTAAGTGCAGAGGCTTGTAAAGTTGCGTTTCAGCTGCCAGATCTTTTGTTAGCATGTGAATTTGTTTTGCAAGCTAAGCAGCCAGATGCAATCAGCACTGAGTTAACTATGCATAAGGTTACACTGCTGCTGGTCCCAATAAAGTGGACCTGGTGCTTTTTATTACGTCTGTGAGACACATGCTCCGGGTCAACATTTAACATGACATCACAGTGGGCTAACATTAAAGGATTTCTTTGTATATAACTAGAAGCAGCTTGTTTAGTAGTTCACATCCTTCACAGGGAGCAACGAGAATGCTGTCAGGCTAACAATGAGAGCTTAAGGTGCAATCCTGTGCATCTTTAGATGAGGAAAAGTTATGCTGGTTGGGGTTGCAGGCCTTTTCCCTATAAACCTGCATAGGATCACACCTTTAGTCAAGCAGAGCGGGTTCTTTGAAATCCATGGAACATAAGTTAGGACCAGCTTAGCTTCCATTGATTTCAGTGGGTCTTTACTCTAAGCACAAATAAGGGGGATCTAACCCTCGTTACACACACCCCAGCCAAGGAGCCTGGTAAATGCTGATCACAAGCACGCATAACCTGATGTTCTATTCAAAATGGAGGTGCTCATGCAATAAAGACACATTTATCTTTAATGCAACTGCATTGTTCAAGCTGAAGAAGTGCTATCCAGTTTTCAGCGGCATGGGCAAGGCCCCTCTATGCAGGACAGCCACGCCACCACCGTCACGGCTGCGAGAGGTCCAGCAGGTGGAGGCTTTCAGGGGCAGAACGCTCTCTCTCCCGGTCCCCCCTCGCCATCCTGGCACGTGGAGAGGAGCCGTGCTGGATCATGACGGCAGGCCACCATCAGAGGGGAGGAGCCGTTTTTGTCTCAAGGACTGGATGTGTCCTGCCTGGTATACTAAAGGCTCCATATCGGGGTGGCGAGGGGGCAATGCCGAAGTATATGCGGGAGAAGGGGAAGGACGCCGAGGGGCATCTGCACGGGGGGGAACCGTGCCAGGATGTCAACCGCTGGAGGCAGACCCACAGCCAGGGCTGCTGGCCACTCGCTCCCTGGATGAGGGCAGTCAGGAAACCCAACCGTGAACTGGGGAGGCTTTGGGCGGGCATCATCCCATTGAGTCAATAAACCAGGAGGGGCCACCAAGGAGGGGCCAGTTGTGGTGCTAGTACTTGGCAAGAAAGGTGGCTGTAGTCCACCGGCTTGTTGTTTGGTTTGGTGAATAATACAGAGCCAGCTAACCTGAAACTGCTGCCAGCCAGTCCTCCAAGTCCACCAAGAGGGTGCTTGCAAAAAGGATGGAAGCGGTGCATGGGAAACACTTCTGCTGGGCAAGAAACCTTCTGGGGCTGCTTGCCAGCAGTGGGCAGCCTCAGTGCCCGAAGTGGGTGCGACCACTAGACTCTCACACACTTTCTACACCACACACACACACCTGACCCACTTCCTCACCTGACCCACAGAGATCAGCTGAATGAGGGGATCTTCATTCCTGAGCATTGAGAGAGGTTGCCTATCTTGACACGGAGCTGATCTCCAATCAAGTGCTGCTAAGCTCTATGTATCAGGAGTATTTGTTCTTTAAGTATTTGGCCTGCAAATGCCTGAAAGTGATTTTATAATATCTCCATGGAAAAACAAATGCAGTCAAGTTTCTGGCCATAACCACCTCCCCTTCCCCTCGCCCCCCCGCCCCGCTCCGCTCCAAATCTGTATTAGGGGAATATCTTTATTAGGCCAAAATATCACAAAACAGTATGCAAGCTTTCAAGTTACGGAGAACTCTTCACCAAGCTAGATGGTAAACAAAGTGGTGTGAGAAAGTAAGATAAAATAGAGTCTAATTACAATTTTATTGCCTGATTAAATAGTCTGTGATATCTGCATTCTTAATCTATCCCAGGATGAAGAAAAAAAGATAAGGATAGAATATAATTAATCTATCTTTCCACCCCTAAAGGAACCCTAGGGGTTTAATTTAAGAGCATTAAAACTTTATTTAAGCATATATTTAAGAATATCTAAATAGAAAACAAGAGCATAAGATATTGAAAGTAGAGCATGTGGGCTCTGGAAAAAAATGACCGTCATGCAAAATGTTCATGATTTTTCTATTCTGGACATTATAATAAATTTAGGGTTTGTTGTTCCGCTAAATAAGACAACCCTGCCCTGAACAAGCGCATGGACTGGTTTCAACGTTACTTCTGAATAATTCTTTACTGCCAACTATGTGATCAATTAGCCCTGGACAGGATACTGGGGTGAAGTGATTCCCAAAACTGTGCACATTAAAAGCCGGAGCAGAGAGATGCTTCACAGGGAAGCCCTGATGCCTTGGCAGGGCCATAAAGCTCCCCCTGTGCTGTCTTCCCCAGGCATGTCGATCAACTGAGTCTCCACCTTGTGAAAAGCCTGGACCACCAAGCCCATCCTGTTGCTTTAACCTGAAACTGAATTTCTCCCTCTGCATGGTCCGTGTACACATTGATCTCATTCTGCCCCTCCCCAGAGACGAAGGAGAGGTTTCTCCCTCCACACGACACCACCAGTTTGGCATTGTCCTGTAAGCTCGCTGGCTCCTGGGCGAATTCTTGTAAAGTCCAGCTGAGACAGTTTTGCAGCTCCTTTGAGCCATTGTGGGAGGACAGATCTCGGAGGACGCCCAGGATGCTGGTGAGATTCAGTGGCAGGGTATGCCGGCCGATCCTGGCCACGTGGACTCCTGAGTTGCTCTCATCAAACACGTAACGAGCCTTACCATCAAGCCAGAGCACTTGAATGTGGTTTTCTCCTTTTCCAGACAGGAACTCTTGCCTTGTTCCGTTACACTGAAGGATGAGCCAGGCATTCTTCTTCACCATGTCTGGCTCCAGGAAAAACTCCCGGATGGATTCATCCAAGCAGCTTCTCATGGCTCCCCGGTGTGGTTCTTGCATCTTGGCTTCCAACAAAGCTGCAACAGTGAGGTTTTTTGGAGGAACCAAGATGGGTGCTGTTATGTTCTCCCCAACTCTGATCCTGTCAACTTCTACCAGAGATTGTTGCCACCACAGGGCGGAGTTATAGAAGAACAGAATCCCCATAATGATGAGAAGAAAGAGAAGTATAAGAACCAGAATCGATATCCAGGTTCTCCTTTGGACAGGAGACCTGGTAACCTCAGTCATAGTGGACTTATGGGAGAAACCACACACGCCATGATTTATGTTCTTCTCAAAGTCAAGCCATGATGCTCCAGGGCTTTGGGGCAGGATCCTGCAGAGTTTCTCCCAGTACGAAGCTCTCTGTACAGGTATGAGCTTGCTGTGGTCTCCATCAGCCAGGAGGGGCTCGATTAAATTGCTGTCATCTCTCATGCTGGCGAGAACTGTCAATAAAAATAGCGTGCAATTAAAGATTTTTATTTATTTATTTAGGAAATTTATAGGCCGTCCATTACTGTCATCTCTGGACGACTTACAATATATTATAATCTTAAACAAAATAAATTGGCTACTCCACAACTGAGTATAAAATGACATGGTTAAAATGAATTAAATGAATGAATATACAATTAAAATTAATTAGCTTTTAAATATTGATCAAATAAAAAGGTCTTGACCTGATGCCGAAAAGCATATAATGACGGCGCCAGGTGGACCTCTTTAGGGAGCGCATTCCATAGTTGGGGCGCCACCACAGAGAAGGCCTTCCTCCGAGTACTCTGCCTCCTGACCTCTTTCAAAGAGGGTTCCCAGAGGAGGGGCCCTTCTGCTGATCTTAGTGGGCGGGAGGGCATATAGGGAAAAAGGCGTTCCTTTAGGTATCCTGGTCCCAAGCCATTTAGGGCTTTATAGGTAATAACCAGCACCTTGAATTGAGCCTGGACTTCAATGGGAAGCCAATGGAGCCGACAGATAACTGGAGTTATGTGAGTATAACGAACAGTCTCCAGCAGCATCCTGGCAGCCCTGTTTTGCACCATCTGAAGTATCCAGACTGTCTTCAAGGGCACCCCACGTAGAGCGTTCCTTGCACTCTACTGCTAACCAAGCAGGATTTCAAAAATAGCCTCTCTCCCCGATACACACCTGCACAGACGGATTGGTTTGCTCTGTTCCCAGCAGAATTACGCCCTAATACACCCTGTTTTCAGTTTCACCATGGCTGGAAAATGATCCAGCTGCTTTGAATAAATCAATGCAAGTTATTCCTCTAAGGCTGTCTGCAGTGTCTGACGGAGGCAGTTGCACTCTCAATATATGGATCTTCAAATATGGAGATGAATTAATGGATGGTTTGCTGCATGCTTTGTTCTGCTTGCCCACTGGCTGAGTTCACACATAAAAATCTACACTGGAAAAGCACAGGGATGGTTTGCCATTATGTGTGAATTCAGCATCTATGGTGAAGCGTGGCACATTTGGTTCCCATGAAACTATGCAAAGAAACAACAGTTTGCTCTTAAGTTTCCACACTACACCATGACTTGTTGTGACATGTGATCGTGGTTACAGTTTCCACATTTCTGCCATAGAGTTTGGTGGCAAGAGCAGCTGCTGCTGCTGCAGTGGATGCACCCACCTCCATTTTTCAGTGTCCTGCCTAGCAACAGCTGATGCTGCAGCAGCCATGCTCTGATTGGCTGCTTCATGACACTCTTTTCCTGCCTCCCCATCGCCCAGCCACAATTTCGGAGTGGCAGTGAGGCATCGCACTGCACTGTCTCCAGCAGCAAAAGACACGGATCCTGTGGGGTCACTGCACCTTGCTGGAGCAAGGCTTCGAAATGGCTGTGTGTTTGTTCTACTTGGGAGCCAGTGCTCTCTTCTTGTGAAGGCAACAAGGAGCACATGAGCTGCGTGTGGGCACTGCCATCAGAAGCCCAGGTCTCCCCCCCCCCCCCCCCCCCGGCTCCCTGCTGCTCTGACCTTGTCCCTGGCATTCCTGAGGATTGTCAACAAGCCCCGCCGTCCCCTCGCCCTGCTGCAAAACAAACACATTCCTTGTGGCCGGCTGGAAAACTTTCCCAGGCAGATGCCCACATGGGCACCTTGGGAGACTCTTCCTGGAAGGATGTGCTCCCTCTCTGGCTGGCACCGGCTGCCCAAGAAGATGCCCTCTCTGTGCCTTGGTGCAGGGGAGGCAGCCCTGGGAGCGTGTGAGAATCCTGTGCATGGGATGCTTTGACACGTGTGCAGGGAGGTTGGGGAGAGAGGAGGGAGGGTGGGTTTGCATGTTGGCACAGGGCAGGGCAGCAGCAGGGAGTGTTCCTGCAGCGCTCCTCTAGAGTAATAGAGCTTTGCCACTGAGTAGGCAGTTGCTTTGCAGAGCAGCAGGAACAAAAAACTGGAAAAGATGGCTGGCCGAGGCGGCACCCAGGGGAGCATGTGGGCCAATGAGGGGGAGGCACGTGACACAGGCAGGAGCAATGCACCCTGGGACAGATTCCAGACTTGGGACTTGAGGGGTTACATACCGCCATCTGAAGGGAAGTTGGAGAAGCATGGAAGCTACGCATGCATAGAAACCAAGTGATTGTGCGAACCCAGGACCCAAGGTGAGATACCATCTGTGTGAATATAGCCAGTGTGAAAAATATGAGGATAAAGCCTCCGTTTTGGCCTGCTGCCTTACATATATTATACTGTTGTGCTGATCAGATTCTGCACAGCATAACAACGGGGAGAGCTGGCACAAAGGAAGTGTGTTAAAAGCAGGCCACACATACACCCTATTCCCTTACTGCAAAGTGGGTAACATGGGCCCCAGCCACTTCTCTAAAAGAGGCTCTTTAAAAACTAGCAAGGAAAAATGGTGTTGGGAAACAAGCTAGGTTTGACCTTTTTGCTGCTCTGGATGCCATCTCCCACCTCCACCCCCATATATTTTAAAATTAAATTTTCAGGTCACCCAGCAAATTACAGCCCATGGGGCAGCGGGGCTCTGCTGGGCAAAAATAGCTCCTGGGCCTTCTGGGGTGAGGGGGAGGACAACAAACTGCACAAAAGCTGAGAAACTCACAAATGCTTTATGGCTGTGCAAAAGGGGGCAGGGCCAGAAAACTAGGGTGAGGCCTACTTGGGGGCCCAGAGGCCAAATTGGGACTCCAGGAAAGTCAGATGTGATTCCTGGGCCTGAGGATCCCAGCTTCCCACCTACATTATCCCAGAGTTCTGTCCAGAGCATCCCAGGAAACCACCTGGAGATCATTTGGACTTCTGAAGTGAGACCTCTACTGCTTTCCTTACCTGCTTCCATGGAGGCAGTCTATACACCTGAACACTGCCTACATTTCCTAATGGGCTGGATGAGGGTGAGCATGGTGAGGTTAAATCCAGAAAAGAGAGAGGTACTGTTGCCTAGTAGAAAATCCAACTCAGGAATTCAAACTGTTCTGGGATTATGCTCCCCTGGAAGGGTCAAGCTCAAAATCTGCTCCTGAATCCTGTATTGTCCCTGGATCTTCAGGTGGCAACAATGGTAAGGAGAGCATTTGCACAGCTACAGGTAGCGCACCAGCTGCAGGTGTTCTTGAGTCACTCTGACTTGGCAACAGTTAGTCACGCCTTTCCTTTTATCACTATTATAATACAGTCTACATGAGGCTACCCCTGAAGAGCACCTGGACTTGGCCCAAAATGCAGCTATGCTGACCTGTGTATAACATCATGACCACATCGCTCCAGTACCGAAAAGCTTTGCACAGGTTGTCAATTGTTCTCTGAACTCCATTCAAAGTTTGACCCTTTAGAGCTCTAAACAGCCTAGGGGCATATCTTCTGTGCTGCTCCCAAATTCTGGAATACATTCCCACTGCAGTTGCAACTCATCCTCACTCTGTCTGCCTTTGGGGAGGGAGCCATGGAACATCTTTTTAATTTAGGCCTTCAAAATTGTTTTGGGGCGTTTTTAAACATTACATTATGCCTGTATTTTTGTTTTCTGACTGTTTGTAAACCATTTTAGTTGGTTCTGGAAAGGTCAATATAGAAATGCAAAAAATAAAAGAATTGTGAATAAAACCATTCCTTGCATTATTGTAATAATAATAATACTCTGGAGGGTTGGGAGTCATGATGCAGGGAAGAGAGCAGGAAGTGTGAGGGGCTTGGGTGGGAGAGAGGGGCTAGTAATGCAAAACAAGGTTCAAAATCCACCTTTAGCTTTGGGAATGTGCTGCAGATTGATTGCTACTAGCAATGATCTAATATGAAAATTACCAGAGCAGCTTTCTGATTTTGAGGGGATGGAGATATTTAAATAGGCACAGTTTTGATTCACCTCAGATGATGTAACCTAGATAAGTCACCCTTATTCATTTCAGTCTCTCTTCTCTCACCATTTAATGGATGCTTTATTTATTTAAAACTTTTATATGCCATCCCTTATGCATGGCATCTCGGTATGGCTCACAATCAGTAAAAACAAATACATTAAAAACAATCTAAACGATAAATAACATATAACCAATAAAATGCGACTGTTGCATTACAATACTAATTTTTTAAAAAATGATTAAATAAAAAGGTTTTGACCTGGCGCTGAAGAGAGTATAAACTCTGCGCCAGGTGAACCTCTCTGGGGAGTGCAATCCACAATCTGGAGCCCACCACAGAGAAGGCCCTACTCTGAGTAGATGTCCTTTTTATGTCCTTCAAGGAGGGTTCCTGGAACAGGCTCTCCCACAGATCTTAAGGGGTGTGAGGGCATATAAGGAAGGAGACGGTCCTTCCGGTATCCTTTAAGCATTTGATTATTTAATTATTTAATTATTAAGCATTTAATGGATGCTTACAAAGGAAATGGAAATAATACATTTCACTGAGTGTAAGTACTAATTTGAAGCTATAAATGTGTTCAAACTTATGTAGACCACCAGGGTGTAATCTTCTGTTTGTGATACTTGAGAAGCGGAAGAAAAAGAACAAGTTAACTCAAAAGAAATAATAGCACACATGCATATTCGATATGAAAGTTATGGCCAGATTTGTAATTGCAGGAACTGGGGTTTTGTAGCTGCGGTTTTGTTTTTAAGACTGCAAGATAAACAGCCTCTTCCGTCTCCATTCCACCACACTATTATTTGAAAATTAGTTCCTTTAGAAAAATCAACCAGATTTCTGGCAAGCTGGTTCACAATCAAAGCCTAAGGACCTGCATGCGAGTATACTAGACTCAAAGTCTAGTGCCTTTTTCAGTAAGGATCTTGGAAGCGGAGCTATTTTCTCCATGTATGTGTGTGCAAAACCTGTAAATATTGATTTAGAAATTTCTGGAGTAATTAGCTCTGCTTCGGAAAGACTTCACTCAACCTTGAGCCTCTCCCTCAACCTTTATCTGCACAGCCAGCTGTTTGCACGCTGGATTCTCCGCTCCGATCCATCTCGGCCCTCAGGGCTGGGCCGCCGAAACTGGTCCGCAGTAGCTTGACCGCCGACTACTTGTCCCAAAGCGATCAAACACGTACTTGGACACAGGTAAGGAAAGGACGGCAGGGACGGGATGGCGCAGGAAGGGGGAGAGAAGATGGCCGAAAAGGAGTGAGGTGGAGATGCAGGGAGAAGAAGTCTTGTGAGAAAAGCGAGAACCAAGCGAGATCAGGAGCAGGGAGAGGGACACGTCGCGCCTGCACGCAGGCAAAGCCAGTAAGATAAAAGATTTACCGCTGCGGCTCGCTAATGGGCGGCTTGGCTCCACGTCGGCCTTTTCTTCTCAGCCTCCGTCTCCCTCCGCAGTCCCAAACCCAGGATGGATCCGCCCCCCGGCCCGGCCCCTTTACTGCCAAAGCCGGAGCCCGTGACGGCGGCTGCGGCCAATGAGGAGTTGCGTAGTTCGTCGGGATGCTGCATGGCCGATCTCCGCCTTGCATGGGCGGCCCCCTCCCCGGCCCCCTCCTCTGCATTTGCAGCGGAAGAGCTTCGTGCTCAGGGTCATAATGGGGGCTCCGAGTTCAGCCTGATCTGTTGTCCATGGGGTCGAGAGGAGTCGGACACGACTTCGCGACTGAACAACTGCGACGTGAGTCAGCACGCCGCGCCCCTCTTCAGGATCGGGGCCCGCCACGCCCACCCTCAGCCTCAGGTTTTGCTTCCCTCGTTCGCTCAGTCGGGAAACAGGTACTCACAAAATGAAGCATCCCGGTGAGCCTCGACCACGCCCCGAGTGCTTTAAGTGCGGTACTCAAATAGCCATCTAAACTATTTTGCAGGGCAGGAGAACCGTGGAGGCAACCTTCATCTCCAGGCTTCTGCCTGCATCGGAGGCATAGAATACCCAAATTGGGTCGTGCCCATAATTAGTTAATCAACGCAAAGTCAGAAGATTCATCAGTTAAATTGCTTCAATTAGTTTGCAGTCTTAGTAATAATGAAGACATATTAGACTGTATTAGAAATACAGTTTTCAAGGGCTGGGATGGGGAGTTGATCTAGATGACCTTTGAGTTACAATCCAAACCCTAAAATCTGAGGATTCTATCAAATGCATTTTGGCCCTGATAGGAAATCTGAATTCAAGTGTGTTTACTGAGCAATCCTGTAAACATTAACTTGCAATTAAATCCCACTGAGTTCAATGGGGCTTACTCCCAAGAAATGTGTTTAATTATTTAAAACTTTTCTAGACCATCCTATTATTGAAGTCTGACGACAGTTTAACAATACAGAATGTAATTTTAAAAAAACACAGGGTCCTAAAATTCAACTAATAATAAAACTCCAATTAAAACAGTCAGGTCATAAAAATTGGGAAAATAAAAAGGTTTTGGCCTGGTGCCAAAAATAATAAAGTGACAGGGCCAGGTGAAAGTGGGCATGGAATGCAGTCTTCCCACTAATTTGGGTGAGAGCCCCAACTTGAACTCAGTGGGACTTAACTGCATGTAGCCATGTCTTGAATCAGCCTGTTAGAAGCCTTACTAAGACTTCCTATATCCAGGTAAGGGCATGTCCCCTGCAGGATCCCAGAAAGAACAGTTAGCTCTGCAGAATGAAATACTGAGAGAAACACACAGATCCCTTGGGAAAGCCTCAGTGATGGAGTTTCTGATGCACCATCAGGTGAGAGTTGCGGCGAAAGCGCTTCCCACAGGAGGGACACTTGAAAGGTTTCTCCCCATTGTGGATTCTCTGATGCACGAGGACATTTGAGCTCCTACTGAAGCATTTCCCACAATCAGGACATTTGTAAGGCTTTTCCCCACTGTGGGTTCTCTTATGTGAAATAAGGTTGGAGCTGCGACTGAAAGACTTCCCGCAGTGGGAGCATTTATACGGCTTCTCTCCTGAATGAACCCTCTGGTGAACAATCAGTTGAGCTTTCTGAGTAAAACTTTTGTCGCATTCACTGCACTGGTAGCTCTTCTCTCCTGTGTGTGTCTTCAGGTGCTGCAGGAGGTGAGAGTTTTGGCCAAAGCCCCGCTCACAGAGAGGGCATGTGTAGGGCTTCTCGCCAGAGTGGGTTCTCTGATGTTTAATGAGGGCTGACGTGTCTCCAAAGCGCTTCCCACAGTCTGGGCAAGAGCAGGGCTTTTCCCCTGAGTGGATCCTCCCATGGATCACCAGGTGCGAATTCTGGCGGAAAGTCTTTCCACACTGTGTGCACTGGAAGGGCTTCTCCCCCACATGGGTTTTCTGGTGTTTGACAAGGGCCCAGGTGGTCACAAAACTTTTCCCACAATCTTCGCAGCGGCAGGGCTTCTCCCCCGAGTGGACCATCCTGTGGAGGAGGAGGTGTGAGTTCTGACTGAAGCTTTTCCCACAGTCAGAGCATTGATATGGCTTCTCCCCAGTGTGGATCCTCTGATGCCTGATCAGATGGGAATTATCACCAAAGTGTTTCCCACAGATGTGGCACCTAAAAGGATTCTCTTCTGTACAGGCCCTTTCATGTGTCGCAAATCCCAGGTTCTGGATCACGTGCGGCTTTTCACCATCTTTACAAGAGCTTTTTTCATGAGCCACAAAAGCTTCCATAACATCCTCTATTTGGATCGAGGCTTTCTGCTCCTTTAGTTCATTCCAAATCTCACAAGCATCTTGGTGGTCACATTCCTGGGAGATGTCCCACTTCAGGGGATTCATTGCTTCAGGGTCTGCCTGCTGAAGCACCTCCGCTTTGCTCTCAGTCGCCATCCCAGTAACTGCTGGAATACAAACAGCCCATGTAACAGACAGTGAGCTCTACATCCCAGCTGTGGAGAAAGAAGCCCAATTCAGGCCTCAGAATGATGCCACTTCTCACATCTGTTCAGGCCCAGCTGCGGCAGGAGCCACCAAAGGGTTAGCGCTCCAAAAGAATGCATTTGCTTGAGTGGGAACTAATGCTCATGCAAGCATACCCAAGATGCCCGGGCAGGACAACACCCCTTACGGGATTAAGGTCCTGTGGCCCAAGATTTTCAGCTCTGTATATCTTCTTAGCTCTACAGAGATAGGTGACAGATGAGAACAGAAGCCCAAGCAATCCAGAGGACATGATCTTGGGAGATGGAGATTCAGGTCTCCACTTGGTCACAGAGCTCACTGAGGGACTCAGGATAGCACTTATGATGGGAGCTGTAGTCCAGCGCATCTAGAAGGTACTGGGTTGGGGAAGGCCAGTATAAATGGGCCACTGCATTCCATAGAGGAGGACAGCTTTAAGTGTGGCAGAACGTGATGCAAATCTCAGCTCAGATAAAGGAACCCCCAGGACACTTTGGGTATCCAGGTATTTCTCAGTGTCAGAACTATCCCCCTCCAATTGCCCCAGTCTGTAGAATTGGAATGGCAATGGCCTACCTCAGAGGGTTGCTATAGGTTGCTAATAAATACGACAGAGCATTGTGGACGAAAACCCAATATGAGTTTTGGAACAGGAGTACAGGACGTATCCCCATGTGTACAATATGGCTTCCTGAGTTCCCAGAGAGAGATGTACCCCCACTTCCTCTGCTCACAGATTACTGGTGGCCTCCTCGATTTTGCACAGTTTTTATCCATACTGAAAGGTTGAAATGCTTCTCCTAAAGTTTAGTGGCATGAAGAGTTTTAAGCTTAAGATATGCAGGTATTCTTGCTATTTTTGGCCCTGCCCCTTTTGCACCACTGGAATGCAGCCCCCCCCCCCCCGGTGCTTCTCTGAAATAGAATTTGGCCCTCCAGCTGAAAGAGGGTCAACAGAGGATCTATTATTCAGAGAATAATAATAATCGATGTAACTGGGGAGGATTAACAACCTGAGAGTATCCATGAAGGCCCACAAAGGAATCTCAGATCTTCATTCTCCTCCATGCAGGTACAAACTGGTGCTTTATCTAAGCTTGCAGGTTTCAGGATGACTCTTCCTCCTGGAATATCAGGATTAGGGTCAGGAGACTGTCCTCACTCTATCTTCCAGGAGATCTGCTCTGATTTTGGCATGTGAAATCCTATTCAGCAGGGAGAGAGATGGCAAGATCAATACTTGTTACAAACTCCTTTTCAAATTTTATAATTTGAACACCTGTTTTCTAATCTTGTCATCACTTGCTCAGATAAAAAGTATCAATTATAAATACTCCTAGGTTCCTTTTCTCTAGCCCAGAATTTCATATACACACATTCCCACACTCCCAGATGCTGCCTGAAGCCACAGGATCACTTTTTCGGTCGATAAATTTGTAGTTATTTTCTGATATACCAGCTATGACCATTTTATGAGCAAACCAATTTAAACATAATACATTTTTTGGTTCCTAACTTATGTCTGAGCAGAAGAAACTTCAGCAAGCAGTTCCTGAAATATCTGGATCATTCTAGAAGCCAGAAGAAACAGAAAGAACTGGAGGAAGAGGAAGGCTGGTGCACAACCTCTGTTCCTGTTTGGCAGGGGTGGGCTTTAGAGAAAGCTTGTCAAAGCAAAAAGCTTCTGCAGCTTGTTTAGATGGGGAGGCCTCGCATATGGATTAGGAACAGTTAGCAAACATCTCTAACTGATGTGCCTTTAAGCCATCTGAAGCTATTATTTGAGGAATGAGATGTTATTCCCTTTTATAAAGCACTCTCCTTAATAAGCACCTTGATTTCTGTTCATTTTTAAAAGTTGTCTCTAATGGTGAAATCAATTCCATCTCTATGCCTTAGGAACCAGGCTATTGAGTTTCTTTCAGATAGACACTAAAACTATTTTGGTGAAATCCATAGCTAACCTAGCCTATCCTAAGTTCTGTGGCAGTGAGTCCCATCGGTGCAAACCTCAACATTGTTTAAAAAGCTGAAAGGGGAAAGGAAGAGGTGGGATAGCCCTCACATTGTCCCTCCACCTGTGGTGGCCATGGCAGGATAACCTACAATATTTCCCACACATGGGGGCTTTTAGTACTGCATTCATTGACTGCTACAGCATCTGATCAGAACATGCTCTATCTATTTCTATATGAAGGACTCTGTGATATGGTAATATTAGCTGCATGCTGGGAAACAGAGCGTCATGGGAGGAGGGGAAGAAGCAATCTCTGCCTTTCTGCCCTCCTGCCTTGCAAATTTCATCAGACAGTCTTTTTAACTCTAGTAACAGCACTTGAAGGGAAGGGAAGGGGAAGGGAAGGGAAATCGCAGAATCATAGAATAGCAGAGTTGGATGGGGCCCATAAGGCCCCTGAGTCCCACTCCCTGCTTGGTGCAGGGCGCCAGTTAAAGCATCCCAGAAAGATGGCTGTCCAGCTGCTTCCTGAGTGCCTGCAGTGTGGGAGAGCCCACCACCTCCTGAGGGAATTAGCTGCATTGCCGCACTACTCTAACAAGCAGGAAGTTTTGCCTGATGTCCACCTAGACTCTGGCTTCCTGTAACTTGAGCACTTTAATTACACGTCCTGGCCTGTGGGGTGCCTGCGAAGAGAGCCCGGCCCTCCTCGGTGTGACAGCCTTTCCAAGTGGAATGCTATCCTATCTTCCCTGTCTTCTCTTCCCAAGGCCAAACATGCCCAGCTCTTTCAATCTCTCCCATAGGGCTTTGCTCCCTGTTCCCGGATCATCCTGGTTGCCCTCCTCTGACACTTTTCTAGTTTGTCTGCATCTTTCTTAAACTGTGGAGCCCAGAACTAGACACAACAGTCAAAATGGGGCCTAACTAGTGCCGAATAGAGGGGAACTGGTACTCTGCTTTGGAAGCTATTCTTTTATGAATGCTGCCCAATATAGCATTTGCCTTTTTGCAACCACATCACATTGTTGGCTCTTTTCAACCTGTAATCTAAAAAAATCCCTCTGCTTGTAGTATTGTTGAGCGAAGTATTCCACATCTTATAATTGTGCATTTGGTTCTCTTTTCCTAGGTGCAGAACTTGGCATTTGTCCCTATTGAATTGAATTCTGTTGCTTTCAGTCCAGTGCTCCAGCCTATCAAAATTACTTTGAATTTTATTTCTGACTTCCAGAGTATTCACTATCCCACCAGATTTTGTGTCATGTGCAAATCTGATCAGCATTCCTTGCTCCTCTTCATCCAAGCCATGCTGAAGAGCACTGGCCCCAGGACTGAGCCCTGCGGTCCCCTGCACATTCCCTCTCTGCAGCCTGAAAAAGTGCCATTGAGAAGCAGTCTCTGAGTTCAAGTCTGTAGTGAACCCTGGATCCACCTGATAGTTGTTCCATCTAATACGCCTTTAGCTAGTTTTCTGATCAGAGTGTCATGGGCATGTTGTCAAAAGCTTTGCTGAAATCAATATATCCTATTACAGTCTACCAGGGAGGCTACCCAATCAGAAAACAGGTTCAGATGTGTCTGGCAAGAGGAAGAGGAAACCTCACTCTGAACTTGAAGGAGGGAATCCCCACTATCCAGTGGCCCCTCAGGCAAGGTCTAGGACAGTGGTCGGCAACCCACGGCTCCGGAGCCGCACGTAGCTCTTGAATCCCTCTGCTGCGGCTCTGTTGCTCACAGGCCCCAATCTGCGACCCACGCCGGCATGGCACAGCCACCGATCTGTTTCATAAATGCAACACACTATAGTTTTTTTATACGTAGCATAAAGGTAAAAAACAATATATGCAGTGTTATTTTCATTTTAGAGGCCAAAAGAGTTTTGTGGCTCCCAGTGTTTTCTTTTCTGTGGGAAACGAGTCCAAATGGCTCTTTGAGTATTAAAGGTTGCCGACCCCTGGTCTAGGAGTTGATGGATTGTGTCCTAAAAGATAATTAAATCATTGTCTTAAAAAGTAATGGAAGAACTAGTGATGCTAGAGATCTTACATGAGCCACCAAGAGTACCATTATATTGGTAAAAGGCAGAATACAAATCAACTAAATAAAGTACATGGAGAGGATTAAAACACCTTTTCTCCAGGACTTTTAACATTCCAGAAATTTTATATTTCTGTTTCTTTTCATCCTCATCAAGATACTTCCCTTGTGTTTGGGTCTTTTTTTTTTAAACAGCCTGTGCAGAATGTTTAAACAAAAGCAGACAAAAGATGAGGCACTGAATCAGTTTAGAGACACACAAGACAACCAACATGAATATTTACTATTAAGTTATTCTTTAGAGGAACTGAGGTGGCAGTCTGGAAGGGAACTGGTCTGTGGGACCAGGGGACCAAGGGGAGCCCCAGTAGTGTCTGCGGAGACAGGTCTGTGGGCAAACCCTTGCGGTATTGCTTCCAGTGCTCTGCTGGTGGGAACTGGCCAAAGGCTGCATGCTAGAAGCAGATGCGAGGGAGGCTCAGAATCCACCAGGTCCAAAGCCCTGCCCATTCCCTGACATGACTCTGAATAGAGGAAAGGGGACCATTGAGAGGAAAAATGGAGGGGGGGGCCCTGGAAAAATACCAGCAGCCAGGTCTGTAATCAGCCCAAAAGTTCCGGGGGGGGGGGGACCCAAAAAAAGCAGAAGCAGTTCGTCTGGTTTGCAGGCTTTTAAACGAACTGTTTTTAAATTATTTGTGTATTTAAAAGAACGGGTGGCTCTAAGAAAAGTTCATCCTCTAAGAAAACCTGACTACAGCCCACCATCATCAACCCACTTTCCATTCGACCATTCCTCTTAGATTCTCCTCTCTGACTCCCATAGGATTGCCCAATTCTTTTTTTTTAAATCAAAACCTTAAAATCTGCTTTAATATTCAATGATCCAATTTTTAATTCGGAAACCATCGATGTGCATTCACCCTATGCCTCCTCAAAAGTGACGAGAGGAAAAGAGGACAATATTGGACTTAGGTCAAATGCAAGAAAATAGGGACCGCTGAAAGGAGTCTGTCAATCATCCACGTTCAGATTATTGATTCTTTGATCTATTCCTCGCCCTTTCGGGCACCACGTTCATTGTGCTGTCCAAGATTTCATAAAAATAGAATGAATAGTAATAACAACGCTTCAGGTAGACGGCTCACGATAAAGTCACCGCCACATATAACAGAATCGGGATTTTCCAGTCCCCAGTTCGGAGCTGCTCCTCTGCCGCTTGCATTACTGAAAACATTCACCTACCTGAACTTGTTTGTGCCGCTTACTAGCTGCAGCGGCAGCTCTCGGGAGTCGGGGAGCACGCATATACCCTTCAAGGAAATGGGTGAGAAGAAAGCCCTTCCTGCTTCTCCAGCGCTTCTGGGGGAGGCGCCCGCCTCAAGTGCTAGAGGGCTCAGCAAGCGATCCTTACGCCTGGACGGATCCGAAGCCATCGGGCATTTCCGTGCAAAAGCAGGCGCCGAATTAACTTCCGGGTCTGATCTAGCGCTCCGACACTGAGCGTGGAAAACTAGGCGGCAGAGCGGAGGCAGGAACGGGGGCGTCAAGCGAGAGCAGAGGTGCCCTTGGCAATCAGCGAGTCCCCTGCTGGCCAAGGTAATTCTTCCCTCTTGCTCCCCAAATCCACTCCAAGAAAAAACACTCCCTTTGCTCAGAAACTGCTAGACTTGACTGCCTACGTTATCAAATAGTATATCAACGTTATCAGCCAGCAACTATTTTGTGAATGGCCACTACAAGAAAGTAATTATCTCTGTCCATATTTCTTGTATTTCAGTGCCCTCTAACTTCACCCTATCATCCACGTGTTGCACTCACACTTCAAAATGCCTGGAAATGGCAGCTGTTAAAAGACACATTATTTAAGCAATGTGGACACAGTCTGGTTGTCCTGTGATGTGACTAATTCCAGTCAGTGGCAGAGTGGTGGACCAAAGCCCAGATTTGTCTGTTTGCTGGAACAGATCCTTGGCCTCTGTGAACTGGAGCTAGCGTGGAGTTCCAGCTATCATGTCTGCACTAACAGTGCCCAACTGGCACCATCTACAGAGAATGATAACCTGCATCCCTGCTA